ATACACATGATAGTTACGGAATATAGACAAAAGTACTAGCAAATTAATAAATAAGAGCCTTACCTTTAGAAAATATTGTTTGTTTAACGAATACACCAAAATATTTCTAAATAATCCACTTCCAAAAGTACGTAAATGAACCCGCTATCAAAAATGCGCGCCAATTGGTATAACGTCAGAAAGATACAAATATTGAAGTCAAATGTCATTATTTTAGTTAATTTTTGATAAGTCAATGGACAAAGGAATCACTGCCATTCAGCCAAATGTATCGATATCAAAACTGTTGTCGGGTATCCGCGCAAAAAGTTATTGATTCATTTTTGGGACTCTATGCATTTAAGGGTTAAATGCGGCAAGATATAAAATTGTTTCTGAGCGTACAAGAGGTCATTAAAAAGAATAATTTAAATTCGCATAGACGTCTGCTCGTGTGAATTAATCGAGCTTCCCGTAGCAAATTGTTCCGCCGTTTTCCGAATTTTCGTCGCATCTCCTTGCTCGATCGAGCGTCGCCGAGGGAGCGGTATTCAAACCGATTTGCAGGAAAATATGAGACCGTTGGAACAAGAACGCCACAGCTGTCCTCTGAATATTACGGAACGTATTCCTCTGATCGTGATTTCTATCGGGCTTCCGTCATTCCGTGCCTCAGAGGGCACGGAATACAGGCAGGAGAACCGTCTCCGAAGTTTTTCGTGGCGCGAAGAAATGGCGGCCATTTTTAACAGGATCCTCGCCGTCCATCTCCAGATGTCCGCGAGCTGCGACCTCTCTTATCCTGTCCTCCGAGGCTGCCCGTCCCTCCAGGACACTGGCATGGAACTCCGAGACACTTCGACCGAGGTTCTACCTATCCTTTCTTCGTTAACTCCCGATTGCCTCGAATGTACCCGGCCCTGATAACGATTATTTCCGTTTCTCGCCGGAGTCTGTCTTTTCCGGGTCAACTGCGCTCGATACGGTTCACAGTTAAACACTGGTAGCGCAGTCACAAAGACCGGCGAGTAGATAGAAAATCTGATAGCCGGGCCGAATGCTAACTTCTCTTATCAGATGGCAGAAACCTTATGTAGGGCGAAAGGTCTTGGGTTCTCCTTTTCTTCGGGCGTTTCACCGTTTCTTACATCGTACCGGTTGCCACGATTTTCAGAGTTGATGCTATTTAGGAATAATAGGGCGACCTTTTCGGTGAACGAGCACTTCGGCTGTATGTTTCTTAAAATGATCGGCAGACCACGGATTTTTATGCGAGATAAAAGTTGTCTGCATCCGATTGCGCGATGCTAGAGCTCTAACTAGGCATCTATTTCTTTCTTCGATCATTTCAATAAGATGATCCGTTCGTTTAATGAATAAACCGCGTATAAAATTCGCGGTCTATTCATTACTGTGCTGAATATTTTTTTTCTTGGTATGTTATTAACTTCTAGTTTGTTTTACAGTAATTTTGTCGATGTTGGATAGCAGTATGCGATCATTTTTCTTGCTGTTATTTAATGTTTCCGTGATTTTATTTTTATTTCCCAGTTCTCACGATACGATTGCGGTACCATTCACGACTACACGTTTAATTAACGTTTAATTGAAACTCTGTTAAAATAACTAATTATAAATTTTAATATTAATTCTTGTCTGTCTCATCTTAGTTTTGCATGCATTATTTTATACTATACGATAGGTTCCGTTTTAAAACGCCATTGTGAAGCTATTTAGGAACATTTTGGAAAATAATATTATTGACTTCCACCTTAACAAAAAAAATGATTTATCATTATCATTCAAATTTGAATTTCATGTATACTTCACATGACTATATCCACTATCAAAATATTCGATTTAATGATCAATGCTGCTCGTGTTTACTATTAATGTTTAATTACTTCGACGTACATATATTTGTCCACGTGTAGCGGAACGACATCAATAGTTGAACGACATCTGAATAAATATCCAATAATCAATATAATACGAAAATCATCGCGAATACCGTGCTTCGATCGAACGAACTAATTGCAATAAACATGTGCATGTAACTGAAAAGTTCAGACTAGTTTGCGAGAAGTAAACAATAAACGGTACTAGTAACGGTAACGAGAACCGCGATGCTTGATAAAAATGAACAAATCGAAGGTTTGTATGCGCGACAGAGGAAGCATTGGTGCACCGGCGATATTAAAATGTCATCGAAGATTGACACGAACGTTGTTGCAGGTTTTTCCAGAAAATTCCGTTCAACCAGGCCCCATTTCGAGGCGCGTCCATTTCACGGCACGGGGCAAGTGGGACTCGTATCTGTTTTATATGCGTCAGAAATAATGGAAAACATTGTATTTCCCGCGTGAGAAAAATGGCAGAATTTTTTTTAATCTATTTTCGCCCCGTCGCCGCGCGGAACACCGCTTTTATCGACGTTTCCGGAAAATATGTCAAACCGATATTCCAAACGGCACGGGCTCGATGCTTTTAACACGCGATTAATTCGTAAATTTGTGCCAAGACACCGGGGAGCCGCCATCGATCAGGTTAATTAAAAACTATTTATTGAAGTCGCGATGACAACCCATTTTTAAGAGCGTTGCTTTAGGACAATTTTAAGGTGTACATTAAGGTGTGCCGAATATTTCTTGAGATTAAGATCTTTCTAGATACTATATTTAACATCAGCACACACTTGTGCTTTTAGATGTTCAGATTAAAAGTTTAGTTTCAGCGATAAGTCTGTACTATCGACACAATTAATTAATTTACAAGTCTGTAGATTCTCAAAATCCATTGAAAGAAAAGAAGACATTTTTCGAGGAACAGTCGTACCCCTAAGAACGTCTAGTTCTTAAAAATTTTAATTGAAATTCTCGTGTTAAATTTAACAAAATTTTGCGAACGTGTTTGAGAATATATGTTAACGGGTTTCCAGAAGGATCATGCGATTGGTAATCGAACAGAAAGGAAACATTCGCGAAACATACGAGTGCATTTGAAATGTGAAAACGTTTGCTGTAAGAACCGTTATGACGCTTAACCGTTGGCTTTATCGATTTCCTGTCAACGATTGCATCTAGAAGTTGCATATTCAATATTTATTTCGCCCTACTACCCGCTCTTCACTCGACGAACTTTGACTTCTTTAGAGAATTAAAAATAACTGCACAGCCACTGCGGCGTTTTTTGGGATCGAAGTAAAAATATTTTAGTACAGGATGAATGTGGCTGAGAGCATTCAAACGTTATCTCCAAAATACAGTCAATCATTGAGTCCAAATTATATTCGAACATTTCTTCGAAAGTGCATTTAAACATTTTCTAAAAATTACATTCGAACATTTTTTCGAAAATGTATTCAAACGTTTTGTTCAAATTACACTGAAACATTTTGTTACAAATATATTCAGGCATTCTGTT